ACCTGAACTTCCCTCTGCCACATCAAAGCCACTTGGATTACAAACGTGCTTCTGCCGCGTGAATTCTTTCAGCACTGCGTAGCAAGCACCGAAGTATATCACTCCAAAAACCCAATAAAGGGCCTTTGAAATGTGGCTAGATGTTGTACACAATCTTGGGTCAAATCATCGTCTCAGTGAGTACTCTTAGAGCAGAATGTGAAGAACTCCAAGATCTAGATAAGATCTAATCTGAGCAAAACGTGGCGCACATAACACACCCTCTTGGAAGAATGACAACATTTTAGCCTGACCCATTTGTGGCCCCATTTATGATATTAGGAAAATTAATGGCACCTAGATGGACACAAACAAGCCCTGGTGGTGCAGTGGGCTACACATTGACCTGCTAACTACCAGGCCAGTAGTTCAAACACCCCAGCAACTGCTATGGGGAACATTAAGACTTGTAATGGTTTGTAGGCTCAGAAACCCCAAAGGGCAGTTCTGCTCTGTTCTATAGGATCGCTGCGAACCAGAATCAACTCAATAGCAGTGGGTTTTCGTTTATATGGACAGATGAATGGGTGTGTTTAGTTCATCATTGTTTTGCCCTAAAATGGAGAGGACCTGAAAGTTTGCCGGGAAATGGGCTGCTGGCTGATGGGAAGAGAAGTATAAGGGGGTTGGGATTCCCCTGTACCTAGCACCTGTGGTTCCACGCTGCTCGGACCAACAAAAGAGGGTGAATGTCATTGAAGACCAATGCCTGAGAGTTTTACATTTCAAAAGGCCTCTCATTCCTTTATTGACTCGTAACTTTGTGCCAGGTACTTTTCATAGGACATGCCACCTGATCCGTAATAGCTTTTGATCAGTTGCCATGACTGACATCTCACAGTTAAGTCAGTTTGAGGTGCAGAACAACAAAGTAATACCCAAGGCCCACCAGCTGGCAAGCTGCAAAGTCAAAAGTTGATTCTCTGGTTGCCTCACAGCCACGACGGCCCTGTCATCCTTGGGTGCCTCCAGTGCGGTCTGATGGTATAGGGGCCGTGAGTCACCGAGTAGAAGGAGCTCAAGGTGTTTGCTAGGCTGCAGTCTTTATGGGAGCAGATCGCCAGGCCCTTCCCCCATGGAGTCACTGACCTTTTTACGTAGAAGCCAAGCACTTAATAAGGACATGTCCAGGGCTCCTCGTTTATGTCTTAGATACTTCAATGTCTCTTAAAAGGCACAGACTGCAAAACTAAGGTTTTTGGATGTGGGGTCTACAAACCAATAGAACCAGTGGTGTCAAGGATGAGGGTTTTGAAATTCCTGGGAAAATGTCAATGGGAAGGAAGAGTGTCATTGTCAACTCCTTTTTTTTTTTTAATCGTTTTATTAGGGGCTCATACAACTCTTATCACAATCCACACATACATCAGTTGTGCAGAGCACATGTGTACATTCATTGCCCTCATCATTCTCAAAACATTTGCTCTCCACTTAAGCCCCTGGCATCAGCTCCTCATTTTTCCCCTCCCTCCCTGCTCCCCCCCCCACCCCCAGTCTTCAACTCCTATAGGAGTTCTTGTTCCTACAGAAAAGAGTAAGTGTTGGTAATATTGACAAGCAGTATTGACACTCAGGAAGCATGTTCAGCTGTTTAGGAATAAAGTCCTTTGTTGTTGTTGTTAGAGAGACTATTCCAGAAGGATTGGGGATGGCTTGTGAAACTACTATCTGGAAATTTAAGGTGAATCAAGGATCAGGGATATTCTTGAGCCCTGGACCAGTCTTCTCTTTTCTGGGAAGACTCCAAATGTAGCCTAGAGGAATGGATGAGTGAGACCTCGAGGTACAGTCCTCTCCTATCTTTTGAAAACCGTGATGAACTATATACAATGTAAGATTTCCCATTTTAACCACTTTGATGTGTGGGATTCGGTGGCAGTCATTACGTTCACCATATTGTACAACCAGCACCATTATCTATTTCCAAAAGCTTTTCCTCATCCCAAACAGAAGCCCAGTACTCACTACGTAGTAACCCCCTATTCTCCCTCAACGCCACGTAATCACTAATAAACGTTAGTCTCTCCGCACTTGCTCTTTCTGGATATTTTGCATAAACAGTATCCATCCTTTTGTGCCACATCTTTCTCCAAGGAAGCAGCTGGTAGGATTGAACTGCCAACATGTTGGTTAGCACCTGAGTGACGGGTGGCTGCTGTTTCACAGCTTTAAATGACAAGTGAGCTGCCTCCCTGGGAGTCACCTTCTTGGGTTGGTAATGTGACCAATATCAGTTGTTCATGGTGAGTCCCCCTCCACATCCTTAGGTCTGTGGTCTGCAGAAATTGGCTCGAACTGTAGCATCGTGGCTCCCACTGGGAGCCCTGGTGGTGTAGTGGGTTGTGTTGGGCTGCTAACTGCAAGGTCAGCGGTTTCACACCATGAGCTGCTCTGCAGGAGACAGAAAAGGCGTCCTATTCATTTTTTTAAAAATCATTTTATTAGGGGCTCATACAACTCTTATCACAATCCATACACACATCAATTGTGTAAGGTGCATTTGTGCATTCATTGCCCTGAAGGCGATCTATTCCTGTAAAGCTGTATGATCTGAGAAACCCACAGAGGCAGTTCTACCCGATCCAATAGGGTCACTATGAGTTGGGATCGACTCAATGGCGGCGAGTTTGGTTTTTGAGTTTGGGGGAAGGGGTGTCGTCTCACTTCAGACCTACTGAATCAGAGGATGCATTTCAACAGTAAACCCAGGTGATTTGTGTACCAGTGACAGTGCGCTGCCATAAGAGAGTTGGAGGCCAGGGGCCCTGATGGTGCTCGGTTCAGTGTTCTACTGCTAATGGAAAAGCTGGTAGTTTTTGTCTGTCCAGTGGCTTCTTGAAAGAAAGACCTGGTGGTCTATTCCCACTAAAATCAAAGCCTAGACAATCCCATGGGTAAATCTACCTTGTCATATCGTACTGTTTTGAGTTAAAATCTACAACAACAACCAGGATAATAAAGTAAGAGCGAGAAATGAGATATATAAAAAACGAGAGACTTGGAGGTTGCTATAGTTCTAAAATTTAAACAAGGGCCACTAATCTTCAGACTTTTGTGACAGTGGCTGCTGAAACACTTGTATCCACTCTTTTGAGGTTCACTAGACAGTAGATAGTTCCACATCCTCTGCGCTCGCCTCTGGACCTGCCTCCACTGTGGCCCTGGGTGAGCAGGTCTCCACCACTCTTAAGAGCACCAGCATCTTTCCCCCACTTATCACATCCTAGACACCCATGGCGTACCAGCTCCTCCTATATTGATCTTATTATTCATCAATACTCCTCCAAAGATAGACAGGTAGCACTCAAGTGTGGTCCCTCCAAGGTAAGAGGTCACACAGGCTGATTCCTTAACAATCAGCAGGATCCAATTTCTTTTTTTGCAAGGTAAGGAGTCCTAGTGGCCCCGTGGGCTAAGGATTGGGTTGCCAATTATAAGACTGGTGGTTCAAACCCATCAGGTGTTCTGCAGGATAACAACGAGGCTCTCTGCTCCTGTAAAGATTTACAATATGAAAAATCCTCAGGAGCAGTTCTACTTTATCCTATACAGAATTGATATGAGTTGGAATCAGCTGCATGGCAGTGGATTTGGTTATTAAATAGGTATCTATTAGGGCTTACATCCTGAGTCCTAAGTTTGCAGAAGGCTACAGATTACAGTGGAATTCCTAAATCCACTTTGGGTCTTCATGTGGATTGTCTGTGGTGGCTCTTGTGTTGCTGTGATGCTGGAAGCTATGGCCCCAGTACTTTAAATACCAGCAGGGTCACCCAACCTGAGCAGGTTTCAGCAGAGATGCCACAGTAAGATCAGACTACAAAGAAGGAACAGACTACCTGCTTCTCAGAGATTCATCTTATGAATAGCTGTGGAATGTGTCAGATATAGTACTGCAAGATGAGCCCCTCAGGTTGAAGGCACTCAAAATATGACTAGGGAAGAATTGCCTTCACAAAGTAGAGTTGACCAGACTGATGTGCATGTAGCAACACTTTCAGGTCCTTCATTTGCTGGTGGGGCATAACCCAAAATGATGAGAAGAAACAGCTACAAACACCTATTAACAATTGAAATGGCACTGGCCATTTTGAATCAGAGAATCATATATTTACCATGCTAGGATCAACAAATTCAGGAGGAATGGTGTTGCATTAATTGTCAAAAGAAATATTTCAAGATAGAGCTTGAAGTACAATGCTCTCTTTAGGAGACACATCTTCATATGACTACAAAGAAAGTCCAGTTAGTGCTACGATTATTCCAACTTACACACCAACTACTAATGTTTGTGATGAAGAAATTGAAGAATTCTACCAACTTAATCAGTCTGAAATTCATCAAGCATGCATGGATAATTATGGGCCATTGGAAACAAAGAGGGAGGGACAATAGTTGGAAAATTTAGCCTTGATGGTAGAAACAAAGCTTGAGATTTCATGGCAGAATTTTGCAAGACCAATGACTTCTTCATTGTAAATACCTTTTTAACAACATAGATGGTGACTGTACACATGGACCTAACCAGATGTAATAGAGTAATCAAACTGACCACATGTGTGAGAAGAGACAACAGAGAAGCTCAATATTAGCAACCAAGGGCCCAGGGCTGACTGTGGAACAGACCATCAATTGTTCGTATGCAAAAGTTCAGATTGAAGCTGAAAAAATTAACTAAATCCACGAGAGCCAAAATTAAATCTTAAGTATATCCCATTTGAATTTTGAGATCATCCCAAGAACAGATTTGATACACCAGTGCACACTAATGATAGAAGATCCGATGAACTGTGGGTTGATATCAAGAACATGATACATGAAGAAAGCCAAAGATCATTAAAAAAGGCAAGTAGGCACGCCACTTCCGGTTCCGCGTCGGTCGGGGGTGGCGGGGGGAGCCGGCTAGGGGCCGGGCGGGCGGCCGTTGGAAGGGGCGTGCCCTGCAGCCTCGGACCCCAAGGCTGCCAACCGTGGGCGAGCAGTGGGCGCGCGGGCGGCCTGGCAAGGCGCTCCGACTGTAGCAGTGTCAGCGTGTTATGATGCCATCTCGTACCAACCTGGCAGCGGGGCTCCCCAGCAGCAAAGTGAAGTACTCCAGACTTGCCAGCACAGACGATGGCTACATTGACCTTCAGTTTAAGAAAAGCCCTCCTAAGATCCCTTATAAGGCCATTGCCCTGGCCACCGTGCTGTTCTTGATTGGCACCTTTCTCATTATCATAGGCTACCTCCTGCTAGCGGGCTACATCAGCAAAGGCGGGGCAGACCGGGCCGTTCCCGTCCTGATCATCGGCATCCTGGTGTTCCTGCCAGGATTCTACCACCTGCGCATCGCCTACTATGCATCCAAAGGCTACCGGGGCTACTCCTACGACGACATCCCCGACTTTGATGACTAGCACCCACCCCGTGCCCGAGGAGGGTCAGATGGGACTGAGCTCAGTTTGTGACACTGGGCTGAAACGAGCTCAGGAATTCAGTAGTGTGCAGATGGCTCCCAGCTGTGGCCAGGTTTTATGGGTCTGTCTCAGAGACGCTGACAGGAAAGTAAGGATGTAGGACATGCTTTGTTTCCCTGGCCCAAGCTTCCGCCGGTTCTCCACGTGACCGTCCTGGAAGAAGAGGGACGGTCGTTGCGTGGAGAAGCAGGAGCTCCCGCTGCAGTGGAAGCGTTCGGTGCCGCCCTCCCTAGAGCTGCTCGTGCCTCTTTCAGTAGTCTGTCGTTTTGCTCTTGTGGCAAATGGAAAGATACAATCTGTCCGTCAAAAACAAAGCGGAGTCATTTATTTTGAAATAGCCCTCCAGGTCCCCCCCCCCTTCTCTCCCAGCTTGTGTTCTGTGGGACACGAATAATCTAGTGGGACACTAGGCTGCTAAAATTCAAGTATCAATATGATCAAAATTTTGTACTTGCTTAGTGACAGCATTCTGGGATTTTTTAAACTTCAGAGGAGATTTTCAGAGGGGGCTTCAAAAAGTTCTTGGAAAAATTCCATTATCTTTGAAAAGTGTGATTTTCCCACAAGCTTTTTGAAGCCACCGCATAAACATTGTCTTTGCTGACCAGCCCGTACTCAGCCCAGATCTGTGTCACCAGAATGCCAGCCAGCACGTCACGGGGCTTTCTGCCCTTTGCAGAGCAGGTGCTCCTTACAGCAGGCCCTCAAGGACTGGAATTTAGGCTGCTTCCTAATGAAAATGATAGCAGTTATTATTTCAAGTGTTAGAGCCCTTTCTCTTAGCATCTTGTATAGTCATCCTGCTGAAGGCCAGAAGACACCCTGGAGCCAGAGAAGTAGACAGCTGTTTGATTGATTCCCAACTTGCAAAAATGACATAATTGAAAAAAAGTAAAATGTTAAGATCCAAAAAAAAAAAAAAAAAGGCAAGTAATAAAGAAAAGATCAAAGTAGATGTCAGAAGAGACTCTGAAATGTGGTCTTTAATATCTAGTAACTAAAGCAAATGAAACAAATGATGAAGCCGAAGAGCTGCAAAGAAATTTTCAAAGGGCAGCTTGAGAAGGCAAAGTATTAAAAGGAAATGTGCTAAGACCTGGAGTTAGAAAGTCACAAAAGAATCACATACTCAGCTAAAAGCCTAAAGAACATATTCAAGACATGAGTTGTAATAGTGAGGGATTCTCTGGGCAAAATATTGAACAAGGCAGGAAGTATCAAAAGAAGATGGAAGAAATACATAGACTCACCATATCAAAAAGAGCTGGTCAATAGTCAACCATTTCAAGAGGTAATATGTGATTAAGAACCAATGTTACCGAAGGAAGATGTCCAGACTGCCTTCAGGGGATGGGGGTAAGATAAGGCCCTAGGAATTGATGGGATTCTAACGGAAATGTTTCAACAACCAGATGAAACACTGGAAGCGCCCACATACCTATGCCAAGAAATTTGGAAAACAACTACCGAGCCAAAGGACTGGAAGAGGTCTGCTTTTGTACCAAATCCGAAGAAAGATGAACCAACAGAATGTAGAAATTATCAAACCATGCCTTTGTGGAAGATTATCCATCAACGTTCTCAGCAGTACATGGACATGGAGCTACCAGAAATTCAAGTTGGATTTGACATGAGGTAGATCTGACATGAGGTGGCATATGGCACATGGTGACCTCAGATGGATCTTGGCTGAAAGCAGAAAAGACCAGAAAGAGATTTACTTGTGTTTTATTGACTATGCAAAGGCATTCATAATAAACTATGGATAGCCTCAAGAAGAATGGGGACACTTCACTGTGCTCAGACCCTGGACATGGACAAAGAGGCCGCTATTGGAACAGAACAAGGGACTATTGAGACATTTAAAATCAGAAAAGCTGTGCACCAGGGTTGCATTCTTTCACCATACTTATTCAATATCTTCCTTGAGCAGATAATAGGAGACACTGGATCCCATGAAGAAGAGCGTGGTACCAAGATTGGAGGAAGTCTTGTTCACAACCTGTGACATGCAGATGACAACCTTGCTTGCTTAAGGGGAGGACTTGAGCATTGGCTAATGAAGACGAAGGACTGCAGACTTCAGTTTGGATTATAATTCAAGGTAGAGAAAATAAAAATCCTGACAATGGGAGCAATAGGCAGCATCGTGATAAATGGAGAAACCACTGAAGTTGTCAAGGATTCCAATCTGCTTATATTGGTGATCAATGCTCATGGAAGCAGCAGAGAAGCAATCAGAAGATTGATTGCATTGGGCTAATCTGCTGTATAAGACCTGTAAAGTGTTGAAGAGCAATGATGTCACTTTGAAAACGAAGGTGTGCTTGACCCAAGCCATGGCATCTTCAAGCTCCTCATATACATGTGAGAGTTGGACAATGAATAAGGAAGACTGAAGAAGAATGGATGCGTTCTAGTTATGGTGTTGGTATAGAATATTGAAAATACCGTGGAGTTCCAAACAGACAAATCTGTCTTGGAAGTACAGTTAGAATGCTCCTTAGAAGCAAGGATGGTGAGATTTCACCTCATGTACTTTGGACATGTTATCAGGAGAGATCAGTCCCTGGAAAAGGACATCATGTTTGGTGTGGCAGTTACGTAATCTCCAGGCAACTTGAGGAAAGGGTGGAGTCTAGCCTGTCAATCAAGTCATAGCCAATGAGGCCTCTGCGTGGGCATGGCCTTCTCCTGAGGATTCTGGTAACTCCTGTCTTCCTCCCTGAAGGTTGGATACACACTCTCCCTTCAAGACTTTGCTATTGACAAGCCACGTGGAGCTACGCTGATGGAGCCAGAGCCCTGGAGCTGGAGGAGCCACGTGGAGACCCATGCGAGTGCTGAAATGCTTCCACCACCACTGGATCCACAAGACTTCCCACCCACAGGCCTGTGATCTTCCTGCATTCAGCATTATTGCATTTGCTTTGTGAGTTTGAAGAGGAATTTATAGATTGGTATCAGACATATGGGCTAATATTGGACATATGGACTTGATCTGGACTGTGCTGAGATGTTTTCTTAATATACAATTACTCTTTGATATCAAGCTCTCTCTCACACACATTTGAGTGTCTCTGGATTTGTTTCTCTAGTCATCCTGGACTAACACACTTGGTAGAACGTCAGAACAATTGGAATGTTGTCAGGGAGATGTATTGACACACTGGCTGCAACAATGATCAACAAACCTAAAGATTGTAAGGGTGGCCAAGACTGGCAGTGTTTTGCTCTGCCGTGTTGGAATACATGATGTGAGACCCCTAAACAATAACAATAACATCCTTTAATCCTCCATTGAACTTTTTCTATTGACCAGCAAAGTGGAAAGCTCTGCTCTCAGGCAGTGTTAGAAAGTGTTACTATCACTCCTCTAGCCAATCAGGGAGGGCTGGCCTAGCTCTTGGGGACTTGCCTGGGGGGTGCTGTTGATGGAATTTGGGGTTCTAGGGTTGCATGGGGTTGAGTCACACCCTGACTGCCTTAGTCAGGGCAGTCCCTGAACCAATTGTGTAAGCTTTTCTACTTAACGTAATGTACAGATCCTAATCCAGGTCCCATTTCCACTCCCATAATCCTGCCTGCACCTGTGATGTATCAATCTGTCAGCACTCATGCTTTTGTGATCGTTTTCCTTCTACTTCCATGGCTATTTAAATGATCAAATTCTGGCAAATCCTTGGATACCATTATGACGTTGTGCTGATGGCCTTCCTCATTGGGGTGATTTGTCTTTGTCCTATTTTAAGATTGAGTAAATGTGTTTCCATAAATTAATTTGAAATTGGGCTCTCCTATTGTCCCCTACCTTAGGTGCCAGGTAAGGTGGAATCGAGTCCTTGCATGACGAAGGACACCCGATTCTAGCACAGAACTAGAGCCAGTTATGAGCAGCAGCTCTACCATGGTGGGGGACACGAGAGGAAGGAAGGAGTGCAGATTTGGATTCAGGCTAGACCAGTGACACTGGGGTCTTGGTAGTCTTCTCGTTCTATGGAATCATTCAGGGCTGAGTTGGCCACTTCAACTCTTCCTTTGGGCTTCTGGTGGTTAACTGCTGTTGAGTGTGTCCCCAACTCATGGTGATCCCCTGCATACTAGAATGAAATGCTGCCTGGTCTTGTGCCAACTCCATGATCAATTGTAGGCTGGACCCTTGATTTCATTGGTTGAGTTTTTTGAAAGTAGGATTGGTAGGTTTTCTTCCTAGCCCATCTTCATCTTGAAGTTCTGCTCACACCTGTAAACAGTGTAAAGTATCACAGCAACATGCAGACCTCCACCAACTGACAGATTGATGACTGAACATGATGTGCATTGATTAGGAATCAAACCCAGGTATCCTGCATAGAAGGCCAGAATCCAACATCTCCATTCCTCTAGGTCTAACCTCACATTAAGAACCCTTGTAGCTCAATGATTAAATGCTCAGCTGCTAACCTAAAGGTGGATGGTTCAAACTCACCAGCTGCTTCCCATTAGAAAAGACTTGGCGATTTCCTCTCGTAATGATTCGAGTCAAGCAAACCCTCGGGGGTATTTCTACTGTCATGTCGGGTCACCATGAGTTGGGATCAAAACAAGCTCATGCTATATGAGTGATCACTGTATTTATTGAACCAACAAAAAGATGCGCTAGCTTAAAACAAATAGAAAAACAAAACACAAACTACATGATATCTAACATAGGGCTTCAGTGATATTTGGATGTCCTTTCCTCAGTAGACGAAATAATTAGGATTTCTAGGACACTGCAATTATTTATTATGAATTGAGTACAAAACATTTTGAAATCAAGATAGATACAGGAAATCCAAAAGATGAGCCCTTTTGGGAAATGCTAATCCATTTTACTGTTAAATCAATGACTAATACTTTGAGGATTCATTTATTGTTACTAGATTCCACATCTTAAAGGAAAACAAAGCCAAACAAACAAGATGTTATAAAATCTTAGCATGCAATAACTTTCTGCGTACGTTTTCATTTGGTTTCAGGC